ACCACTCTAATTTAGAACCTCTTAGCCTCTCACCTGTACTATTACAATAAGCTCCTCTTTTGTCTCTCCCCTCTCCAAGCCATCATTACCCTAGCTGTCAAACTGGTTTTCCTAAAGCATAAATCACTCCCCTGTGCAATCCCTGTGATCTCTATTCATCCTCCGTTTGACATTTCAAGCCTTTCATAACCAGGTTCTGGCCTTATTGCATATGACTCCATTCCACAAATGATGTAGGTTGGTTTCCTTACTGTTCCTCATACAGGACCCTCCATCTCTAGCCTCCATGCCTTTCTACTGGCTCTCCCACATGCCTGGAATGTTCTTCCTTATTCCATCTTGTAGAATCTAGTTTTGTCTAAGGTTCAGGTCAAGCACTACTTACTAATCAAGGCTTTTACCAATCCTTGCCATAACCCTATCTCACAAAAGCTGAAGACCCAGAAAGGAAAATTTTCGGGTTTTTTTTTTTTTTTGGTTTGGTTTGGTTAGGCAATGGGGTTAAGTTACTTGCCCAGGGTCACACAGCTAGTAAGTGTTTTGTGTGTGAGATCGGATTTGAACTCAGGTCCTCCTGAATCCAGGGCTGGTGATTGTGAAAGAGAAAAGAGATAAAGGGTAGGAACTTGAGGAGAAGGGGAGCTAACCTTCATCTGTTGTGAGGGCTTCTACCCCACTAGAACGTAAGCTACTTGAGGGCATGTCTGTCCACTACCAGTGATTAGTACTGTACCTAGCACGTGATAAAAATAACTAACATTTATATAATGCAATTGGTTGACCGATCAATCAGCAAGCATTTATTAAGTGCTAATTAACAGAGGCAGCTGGTCCAGTGCATAGATGGATGGTCTTGGAGTCAAGAACACCCCAGTCCAGCCTCAAGTGTTTCCTAACTATGTGACTGTGGACAAATGATTTGCAAAGTGCTTTACAAAGATTATCTCATTTTATGCCTGGAGCAATCCTAGTGCTAATCCTCCCTGACCACCCCATACACCCCTTGCTGGCCCCTTTTCAGGGCTGCTCGCCCACCAGCCACCCAACTCTCACCTCCAAGAAGCTATAGCGTGTGCCCCGGCCACACCCCGGCAAAGCAGGTTGAGGGGAACTGAGGAACCCCAAACCCATCAGTGAGTTAAGGTATGTCTACCCTAGGCATGTGTAGACTTCTTCAACAGAATGGGCAGATGAGAATAATTTGTTCCAATGGTCATGAAGGTGGCTGAAATGGGCGCTTAGAGTTTGGCTGAAGATGAAGATTGAAGATGCCAAGGTCATCCACTGCTTCCTGGGCCGTCTCATCGTCAGTTCTCTTGACTTTTGTCCTGCCACTGGACTTCAGTGACTCTGGAAGAGAGAGTAAAGCTGACAACTTTGTGCATCTCTGCCTCAGTTAAATCCAATTCAAGAGCAAGTCATGAGTCTTTGAAAAATGAAGGACAAACATCAACAACAATCCTGAGAGAAGGTGCTATTATTACCCCATTTTACAGATGAGGAAGCGGAATCAGGCAGGAGTTAAGTGACTTGTCTAAGGTCATACAGCTAGGAAATACTTAAGGCTGGATTCAGGTGTGCTTGACTCCAAGTCCATCCATCTATACACTGGGCCAGCTGCCTCTGTTCATTAGCACTTAATAAATGCTTGTTGATTGATTAACCACCAATCAACAGCTGATTGGACATTGCCACCTGGATATACCTCAGGCATCTCAAACTCAGACTTGTCTAAAACCTAATTTATTACTTGTCTCCCACCCCCACCCTACCCTCCTTCTGAGGAAACCATTCCCCTTTCGGTCACTCAGGTTGGAAATGACTTAGGCCTGACTGGGTTCTTTCCAAACTCAACAGTCTTCAATGGCTCCCAATTTACTTGAGCATAAAATCCTAGAGCAGACATTTAAAGCCCTTTACAAACTTTCTCTCATTTAACTTTCCAGAAATCTCCTATTATTCCTGTTCACACAGTGTGTGACAGATTATTCTCAAACTTATTATTCCTTGACCCAGCTCTCTGCTCTTCACACACTGTCTCCCCCACGCCTGGAACACATATTCCCTCCTCCCCTCTAATTCCTTTTCTTTTTTTTAAAGGCAATTGGGTTTAAGTGACTTACTCAGGGTCACACAGCTAGTAAGTGTCAAGTGTTTGGTCTGAGGCCGATTTGAACTCGGGTCCTCCTGACTTCAGGGCCGGTACTCTATCCGCTGCGCCACCTGGCTGCCCCTTCCCCTCTAATTCTTAAAAAATCTGCAGCTTCCTTCAAGGCTCAGCTTAGAGGCTTCCTTCTATAGAGGGCCCAGAGTCTGAGAACCTTTTTTTTTTGGTATTTCCATGCTTTTTATTTTTTTTAAGTATTTTTAAATTGTTGAATAGTATTTTATTTTTTCCAATTACATTGGGAACTTGTTTTAAATTTTTTTTTCATAACTGTATTTCACTATAATTGGTTTCCGTTGTAATCCTAAGTATTTTATTGTTGTTGCCAAAGAGGTCCAGGACACAAAAAATGATTAAGAATCCCAGTCTATGGGAAGCCTCCCCAGATTGTGTTTCTGTCACCCTCCTCAAATGGTCTTGGGTTATTGATCTGTACGCACATCGATCCCCCCTCCCCCCTTCCAGTTCAAAGTAAGCTTCTGGAGGGCAAGCTAGTCTAGTTCCCTTTGCTCTATCTTTAACTCCCCGCCTGTCCCCCCCCCTCCCCCCCCCGGGGCATTGAACAGAACTGGAACTGAATAAACATTTGTGGAAGTGAATCCCTCCCTCTGCTTTCCCACAACCAGAGCTGACTTGGAAAGGTCACTGAAGTCCCGCCCATCTCTAGTTCTTTATGCTTTCTTCTAATTTGGTATTGAATTTGGCTCCTCCACGAGGCTCGATTGATTGACTGCCCAGACAACTGATTCCGAAATGACTCTGTCCCCGACCCCCCACTGGCAGTCAGTCATTTCCTGTCTGTTAAGTCAACTTCATTTTGGGTGGAGTTTGGGGTTCACTCTGTCCCCTGCCTCCAAAATCTCTTCACCCCCATCTCTGCTGGTCAGCTATGTGACCTAGAAGCTCCTGGCTTCTTTTATTCCTTAATCCAGAACCAGGTTTTCTGCTGTCTTCTTCAGCCCCTCTCTTAGGCAGATCTTTTGAACTGAAGTCTAGAATATTTGAAGTTTCTCTAAAAAGATAGAATTTGACTAGAAGTGTTGACTAAGCCTTACTGTGTGCCAGGCTTGTGCTTTCTAAGATGATGGGCATAGAAAGGAAAAAAAAAAACCCCAATCTGAAGACTCTCACAAGTTTGATTCAATGTTAAACCAGCAAACAACATTTATTAAGTGCTTAGATGTGCCGGGTATTGGGTGAGATGTTGGGGATGCAAAGGCAGAAAATGAAACAGTCCTTGCCTTCAGTCAAGGAGTTTGCATTCTGGGGTACGGGTGGGAAGCTTCTTCATAGACTTTCCCTGCCTCCTCATCCTCCACAACAGATGAGCTTTAAGATCCCAGTGGTTTCCATAGCATTTTCTTTTGGAATCTCCCAGAAAGGTCCCTGAGGGGCAGCCAGGTGGCCCACTGGACAGAGCCCAGGGCCTGGAGTCAGAAAGACCAGTTTTCAAATTCTGTCTCCAAAACTGACTAGCTGTGTGATCCTGGGGCAACTCCCTTAACTAATTTTGTCTCAGTTTCCCCATCTGTAAAATGGGGGTAATAACAGCATCTGTCTTATAGGGTTGTTGTGAGGATCAAATGAGTTAATAATTGTGAAGCACTTAACACAGAGCCTGGCAGATAGTAAATGCGGTATAAATGTTTATTGCTGTTGCTGTTATGTTAGCCTTCTTTGTCACTCCAGGCTCTCTGCCTCAGTTGTATCTCTCCTTGTTCCTCAGTATCTGACTGCTATGTTCCTTAATCTCCCCCCCCTTCCCTGTGTCCCCTCACTCTTGTGCCCTAGCCTTCACTCTCCCTCCAGAATTCTACGCTGTCTTTCAATATCTGATCTCCCTCTTTCCCTTTGATTTTTCTCCTCTCTTTTCCTCTGTCCTCACTGTTACTCAGTCTCTCTTCTCCCTGTCTCCCACTCTTTGACTCTCTTCCTCTCCATCAGTTTCCCTTCCCTTGGATTTGGGGGTTAGCCTATTCAGGCTCGATTGTATGTACGTCTCTAGGGTAGGGGGATGAGGAGGAAACCGCTTGTGGTCGGCGATACTGGCTAGGAGGAAGCCTGCCTGAGTAAATAGCCTCTGGGGTGGGGGTGGAGTGGGCGGAGGAGTGTAAGGGACGCTTGCAGAAAGGGAACCAAGTCAAGCAGCCTCATCTGTGGGCCAGATGACAGAGCTGAGCTTTAGGAGAGGTAGCCTGGTTTTAGCTTGACTTCAGGATGTACCGTCCCGGTCTGATCTCATTTTTCCTAAGGGGATAATGGGTTGATTGGAAAGTTAAAAGCTGAGTAGGTTTTCTTTTCTTTCTTCGGTCTAAAGTTGAGAGTGCTAGCCCTCCTCTCAATACTCTGCCCTTCCAGACATTGCCACATGTAGGAGGAGTCCCATACGTCCCAACTGCGACGTATGGGGAGATTGCCCAGAAGAAAGAGACCCCCCCCACCCCAGCCCTCAACGCGGTCTTGGACTGGTCGAACACGCTGGGGATCCTTGGGGAGCCCGGATACTGGAGGCCTTCCCAACCAGCCCCGCCGTCTGGTGGCTTCCCTGCCCCTAGGGCCCTCCCCTCCTTTCCTCTCCTCCCTTTTCTCCTCCTCTCCTTTGCTACCCCATCAGGCCCCTCCCCGAGGTGGGACGCTGGCCGAAGGCGTCTGGATCCAAAACTCGCTCCTCCCGTTGGCAGCTTCACCCTGGCTTTGCTTTTCCACCCAGGGTCGGACACGTCGCCTGAGCCCCGAGATTTTGTGTTGGTCTCCGCGGAGCGCTTTTCTCCTAGGACGCCGGGGTCTCCAGGGCAGGGGTAGGGGAAGCGACCCTCTAGCCCTAGGGGGGCCCTCGCTCCCCTACGCCTGGGTCTCCCTGCCTGGGGCGGGTCTCTCCGGCCCTGGGGGGAGGCCCTTGGTCCCCTAAGCCTGGGTCTCCCCGCCGGAGCCAAGTCTCTCTGGCCCTAGGGTGCCCTCGCTCCTGGACTCCTGGGTTTCTCCGCCGTAGGCGCATCTCCCCGACCTAAGGTGCCTTCGGCTTTCTGACGCCTGGATCTTCCCGGATCTAGGGAGTCCTCGGCTTCAGGACACCTGGGTCTCCCCGCTAGGGGTGCGATTTTCCTGCCCTAGCCACTTCCACTCCCACCCCCACTCGCATTCCCTAACGTTTGGGACTTTCCGGACCCAAGAGGCCCCTGCTCCCAGACGCCTGGGTCTTTCCTCCAGGAGCGCCTCACTTTGGCCTGGGGGCGATGAGTCGCGGGGCTGTCCTGGCCCTGGCATTGCTGGTATACGCGGGCTACCTGACGCTGGGCGCCCTTGTGGTATCGGCGATCGAGCGGCCCCAGGAGAGCCGGCTGCGGGCTGAACTGCTGGCGCTGAAGGAGGAGCTCTTGGAGCGCAGCCCGTGCCTGGACGACTCGACACTAGAGTACTTCCTAACGCGGGTGCTGGAGGCCGGGCGCCACGGGGTGTCGGCTCTGCACAACGCCACGGCGCCCACCAGCTGGGACTTCGCCTCAGCGCTCTTCTTCGCCAGCACCCTCATCAGCACAGTGGGTGAGTTCGCCCCTGCCCTCCTCACACGAGCCCAGCTCCCAGCCCCTCCAGGCCTCCTGCGTCCCACAGGTTGATTTTCCTCTCCCCCTTCCTCCCCTTCTGCCTTCTCCCTCTTCCTCCTCTGTCTTTTCTTCCCCTCCCCCCGCCCACACACATGAACTTCCTCTCTGCTTTAGCTTTTAACCTGGGGTTTGGAAGGAGTAGGGGAGGGGAAATTCCAGCTCCTTTCAGCCTCCCTCTTGACGTGTGAAGCTAGATCTTTCTTCCTATCCAGGTCCGGAAGGAAGAGAGGAAACGGTTCACTGGAAAAGCCCTAGCCTAGGACTAGTTTCCCCTCCATGCCCCCTCCAACCTTAGGACACATCTGGAAGGGACCTTGTACTCTCTCCTAGCTGTCTCCTAGGTCTGGGACAGGTTAGACCTGCTCTGTGCCCTAGCAGGAGGCAGGGCTTGAAGTTCCACCCGCTTACCCGCCCTGCCCTCTCCACTCACCTCCTTCCCGAAGCCTTCCTCTGTCTTCACGGTTCTGTAGACCTCCTGCTGCAGCAGCAGAAGCAGTACAGGGTGGCACTGGACCAGCCGCCTCTCTGGTCCTTGCCTAGAGACCCTACAGCTAGCCATCCACTTCCTTATCTCCATCTCCTGGCTTAAGATCCAGAGATTCAGTGTCAAGATTTGACCCAATTTTTCCAACAAAGCCTTGCATGAAGCACTGTGGATGAAGAGCCTTGAGTGTACTGGGGACAAGCACTGGGACTCAGAAAAAAAAAAAAATTTAACCCCACCTATTCCTTAAAAGGATTATGCAGAGGTAATCAGAGAAAACTTCCCAAAGCAGAACAGCTTCAGAGCTATGAAAACTGGGAGGTAGCAATTGGAGCTTCCCAGCAAAATGGGACCAGATTCAACAGGGCCAGTGTGTTTTAGTGGACTGAATGCAAAACTTGGGGTCAGCAAGATCTGGGTTCAGATCCTGCCACAACCCCGTGTAATGCTGAGCCACTCACTTGATTTCTCTGGGCTTCTCCTTCTTCATCGGTTGAATAAGAGAGTCAAACTAAACAGGAGTCTTCATTTCAAAATCTAGGATGCTGAAAATATTTCATTCGGCACTTCCTATGAACATGATACTAAGCCAGAGTGGGCTGCTGGGAGGAAGCTAGTCAGGAAGACTGTATTCAGAAAGAGCTTGGACTAAATGATCTCTGGAAAGCCAGAAGTGGGGACCAAGCAGGAGATTGAAAGGACTGTAGAGCCTGAAGGGACCTCAGCTCACTCAGCCCAGATGCCTCGGTAGGGAAACTGAGGCCCCAGCAGGTTTACTGGCTTACTCAAATCTACAGTCCTTTGGCAGGAATTAGCAGCTCCCCGGGGACCTGAGCCTGGAGATGCCAGCTCTTCTCCTCTCCTTCCATTCTCTCTTCCTACCCCTAGGTTATGGCTATACCACCCCTCTGTCGGATTCAGGCAAGGCCTTCTCTATCTTCTTCGCCTTGCTCGGGGTGCCATTTACCATGCTGGTGCTGACGGCCACAGCCCAGCGCGTGGGCTTGTTGGTGACCCACGCCCCAATTCGCTGGCTGCAGTTCCGCCGAGGCTGGGACCCACGGCTGCTGGCCCGTTGGCACCTGGTACTGCTACTGCTGGGGGTGCTGACCTTCTTCTTCCTGGTACCGGCTGCCATCTTCACCTACCTGGAGAATTCCTGGACTTTCCTTGATGCTTTCTACTTCTGCTTCATCTCCCTTTCCACCATTGGGCTAGGGGACTACGTGCCTAGTGAGCAGGAAGGTCAGAAGAACAGGGCCCTTTACAAGGTTCTGGTCACAGGTAAGCAGTGCATCCATAACCTAAGGATCTGGAATCCTCAACCCTCAGCAAAGGGCTGACTAGGGGAATTTGGAGGGGGTATGACCCCTCTGCAAGGGGAGCCATTGCGCACGCGCGCACGCACTCGCGCACGCGCACACACACACACCCTTCACTGTGAAAGGAAATAGCCAATGTCTGAGGTTCTATCCTGTATCCTACATGGGGGGGAGATCCCCAAAGGGTGGCACACACACACACACACACACACACACACACACACACACACACACCCTCACTCTGAAGGGAAATAGCCAACGTCCAAGGTTCTATCCTGTATCCCACATGGGGGCGGGGGAGATCCCCGAAGGGTGGGAATTCATGGGGATGGGCAGGCTCTTTCCATTGTCATGCGTTTCCGCATTCCTTTCCGTCACTCCCATAGTGTACCTGTTCCTGGGGCTGGTGGTCATGGCCCTGGTTCTTCAGACCTTCCGGCGTATGGCTGACCTCCATGGATTGACTGAACTCATCCTGCTGCCCCAGGAGTGCCAGGCTGAGGATGAGGAGGATGAGCACACAGACATCCTAGACACTCGGGTTCAGCCCACTCAACAGCAGCTCAACTCAGGCACCTACTCAGACTATGCTACTATCCCCCGGTAGCCCCGACCCTTCCCCCCTGGCCGAGGCCTTGCCTTGGGGGCCAGGTATGGGCCTGGGGCAAGACTAAGCCCCCTTTTATCCTTACTACAACTATCCCCTGTGTCTAATACCTGAGCCCTGCTGTTTATGTGAGATAATATTACAAGTGTTTGGTTTTTTTTGCACTTCAAAAGTGTTCCCCATCTCATTCAATGCCAGCTGTACCCACGCATACTTGGGAGGGAAAGGGCTGGGAGAAAAGGGCATGGAATGGGAAGGGAGTCTCTGGCTGGCTCCCAATTCCCATACTCACAAGAGTCTTTCAGGCTTAGGGTGAAGCCTAGGGTGAAGAGGAGTTAAGTGCCCATATTTACAAGACTTGGGAGATGAACCAAAAGGAAGAAGAAGGCAAGGTCCAATTCGCAAAGAGAGGGGTTGGGATTTCTGAGTTCTGATCTTGTAAGTCACTTTCTCTAGCCTCAGTTTCCCCTTCTGTACAATGAAGAAGTCAAACTGAATGGTCTCTAAGGGCCCTTTCAGCCTTGTGTAGGGTACATTTCTGGGTGTATTTTTCATATCCCAGCCAGGCATCTCTTTCCCATTACTTCCTTAGTAGATTCAGTAACTAGGTCTGTGTGATCAGGACTTTGTACCAGGGCATCCAAATTTAGGGTCCCTGTCTCCAGGGTGCACATTCTCCCTCTGGCAGCCAAGTTGAAGGTAAGCTGCCTCCTACCTGCCTCAGGCACAAATTCCTAATTACAGTTCCTTCCCTCAGTCTTTCTACTCTGCTGTTCATAGTGGTTACTCCTCCTTCATTCCCGAAGAGGACCGATGACATCGGGAGGGCGATGTCTTGACTTGCAAGTGAGTTGGATTTAAGAGAGGCTGAGCTGTGTCAGGATGACTAGGGATGGCCCCAGATGCAGTGGGAGACCTTGGCCTTTTTAAATTAAGGTCTTTCCCAGGTCTCAGTTTGTCTGAGGCAACGCCTGTTCGGTAATTAGAGGCTAGGTAAGAAGTAAGGCAAAAAATGATCTGGTTTGCCTTCATAAAGAGTAAATCTGGGAGGGGAAGAATTATGAAGCTGTTATCTTTAGCCACCCCCCCACACCCCCCTCTTCCTATATGCTTTGTCTTTGAACTTTTACAGGCCATAGGAGTGAAATAGAATGCACCATGTGCTTTGGGGAAAAAGGCAGTGATTTTTGTAGAGTTGGAAGTAGGACCAGTGGCCCCTTCCTCTACCCCTGTCCACCCCCTAACCCCTAAGACTTCTGCCCTTCCTTCACAATGCACCAGATCCCAAGTCTAGAGGAAGAAAAATTCTGGTCTCTGCATTTTGGGACACAAGCCTGCCCTGTCAGAGACAAAATTCTTAATCCAATTATATTAATTATAAGCATATCTGTTTCTAGAGAAAATCCAAAGGGAAAGTGGTCCAGTCCATTCACCCTGACTTTGAAAATCTCTGCCTAAGACATTTTCCACATACAATTTATAGGGTAAAGAACAAAGTCAGAATTCCGTAGTCATCAGCAGACCATAGGATAAATTGTGGATTCATCAATTAGAACAGTAATTCTCCTCCCTCCCTCCAGTGGTCAAAAGTGGCATTGCTCAGCTCTTAGCAGAGTGTCTGGCATCTTGAGGAGTTTTAGAAATGTTGATTGACTGCTCATAATTTAATTAAGCCAAGGTCTCTTTCCCTTTCCCAGTCCCCATACTAATTACCCCTGAACTTTGACTTAGTTTCCATTTGAAAAAGTTAGGACTTGGAAAAGGATTTCAGACTATGATACTAATTAAGCCCCTAGGTGGCACCATAGTGCATAGAGTACTGGGCCTGCAGACAGGGAGACTCATCGGAGTCCAAACACTTACTAGTTGTGTGACCCTGGCCAAGTCACTTAACCCTGTTTGCCTCAGTTTCCTCATCTTCAAATGAGCTAGAGAAGGAGATGGCAAACCACTCCAGGATCTCTGCCAAGAGAATCCCAAATGGGGTCAAGAAGAGTCAGACTTGATTGAACAACAACTAATTAAGTACCCAAGAAGCCACTTAACCTTAAATCTGCCTCAGTTTCCCCATTTGTATAATGAGAAAAATAATAGTATCTACCTTTCAAGGTTGTTGTGAGCATTATATAAATGCTAGCTATCATTATTATTATTGACAAGATTTTCTATTCAGATACGGTCCAGGATTTGAGACAAAGATGCTAAAAAATATGATTTTTGAAATGTTTCTACAAGATCAGAGTAAGATCAGTTTGGAACAAAACCAGGAATTCCAAAGATGACTGAAAAAAAGCACACATTAGGTATTTTTTGTTGTTCAGTCATTTTTTTTTTTCAGTTGTGTCTGACTCTCCACGACCCCATTTGGGTTTTTCTTCACAGAAATACTGGAATGGTTTGCCATTTTCTTATCCAGCTCATTTTACTTTTTTTTTTAATTCTTTTTTTTCTGTTGGAATATAATTTGTTTGATTTCTTGTGATGTAACACTTCAGAAGGGAAATAAGACAGCCAAGGGAAATATTGATGAAAAATACAGATTCTATTATAAAATTTTACAAGGGAAATTGTAGATGATTAAGAACAGTGTATCATTTTATCGTTACAACAACCCTGGGAGATAGGTGCTAATACTAGCTCCATTTTAGAAATGAAGAAACTGAGGCAGATGTTAAGTGACTTGTCCAGAGTCACACAGCTAGTAAATGTCTGTTGTTGTGGCTTAGTCATGATCCCATTTGGGGTTTTCTTGGCAAAGATATTGGAATGGTTTGCCATTTCCCTCTCCAGCTTATTTCACAGACAAGGAAACTGAGACAAACAGGGTGAAGTGACTTGCCTAGGGTCACACAGCTAATGAGTGTCTGAGGCCAGATTTGAACTCAAGAAGATGAGTCTTCCTGACTCCAAGCCCAACACTCTATGCACTCTGGCGCCCCCTAGCTACATTTAATGCAAGCAAAGTGCTGTGCTTATTTTAAAAATGAAAAGCAAAACCAAAAAAAAAAAAAAAAAAACCCAGGAAAATAGTCCCTGCTCTCAAAGAGGTTAGGTTCTAACAGGTGAGTGATGGCTTTGGAGCAGGTGCTGATTTGGAGCTAAGTGCCCCACTGGGTGAGAGAAACCAGAGCTAATTGATGGGCCATTTTCCATAGTATTGTTTTGATCACAGTCCCCTGAAAGTAGAAGGCTTTGGTGGGAGGAGGGAGAGAAGAAAATAGGGGTAGGGAGTAGGTAGACTGATTGATAGTCTGGTGTGGTTCTCTGGAATGTGAAGCTCTGGGCTAGAGGGAGTGCCAGAGCTGAGAGGGTTAAGACCCCCAGGGCCATGTCCTTGGAAGACTTGATGGTACTATGACCTGGCAGAAAGCAGAAGAAGTAGAGATGAGAGGCATAGAGAACATCTGCTAAGGCAGAGATGAGAAATGGATGGTTGTCCATCCTTTGTGCTCCAAGAGGACCAAAACTACATCACAATGTTGGGGTCAAGGTACAGTGTGTCCAACTTCGGCTGATTGGACCAATATGAACTCAGGAGGTTCCACCACAGGTCAGGCACAAATAATCCATATGAACATTTGGGGTGGAGATGTTTCTAAATTTGCCCAACCCCAATTTTTTTTTTTGAGCTACTGGAATTCTGCTTTGCTCGTAGAACACAGCATTCCTTCTTTGATGTGGGCAGTCCTGTGCCAGTGTCTCCCATGTCTCGCAATTGATCCCAACGTTCTTCAGAGAGATTTTGAGAGCATTCCCATATCTCTTTTTTTTTTACTTTGTGTGAGTTGGCATTCAAACAACATGGCCAGCCTGTTGGAGAGTTACACTCTCTGCAGTAGAGTTTGAATGCTTGGTAGTTCACCTTGAGAAAGGACCTCAGTGTTTGGTAGTGAGGGGATATTCAGAATCTTCCTAAGACAATTCAGGTGGAAGTGGTTCAGTTTCCTGGCATGGTACTGGTATACTGTCTAGGTTTCACGGTCATACAACAATGAGGTTAGCACAGCGACTCTGTAGACCTTCAGCTTGATATTCAAGTACCTGTTCTCTCCCACACTTTCCTTTGGAGCCTCCCAAACACTGAGCTAGCTCTGGCAATATGTGTGTCAACTTCACCAGCTATGTACCTAGGAAGTATACTGCAAAGGTAAGTAAACTTACTCACAGCATTCAATATTTCTTCATTTGCTATAACCTATGGTTCCACACATGGATGGATGGTGTGGTGCTGCCTGGTGGAGAACATGTGCTTTCTTGGTGTTAATTATTAGGCCAAAATTACCACAGGTAGCAGAGAATCAATCCATACTCTGGTGCATCTCAGCTTCAGGGGCTGCATTGAGTGTACAATCATCCGTGAAAACATCACGCACCAACTCTCCCTCTACTTTAGTCTTGGCTTGTAATCTTTTCAAGTTAAATAATTTACCATTAGTGCAATAGCTGACCTTGATGGTGTGTTCCTTTTCATTGAAATCATCTGACAACATTGCTGCAAACATCATTCTAAAAAGCAGGGGAGCAAGCATATAGCCCTGCTTCACTCCATTGGTGACTGGGAAAGTTTGAGAGCATCACCCACAATTCAGAGCCTGTGCAAGCATGCCATTATGGAACTGTTGTACAATAGCGAGGAACTTCTCCAGGCAACCAACTTTTGCCATCATCTTCCATAAGCCTTCACAAGCAATAGTATTAAAGACCTTGGTTGGATCAATGAACTTTTGTGTACAGACCTCTGTTCTGCTCCTGGCATTTCTCCTAGAGTTGTCAGGCAGCGAACACCATATCGCCCTCCCCTTGGCCCTTTCTGAAGCCACACTGGCTCTCAGATAGATGATTATCTTCTAGGTGAAGGATCAGCCTGTTAAGGAAGACTCTGGCAAGGATCAATGGTTAAGAATCTTGAATCTCTCTAAGCTTCATTAGCATTTTACTTTTGATGGAATTAGACCTGCTTGTTAGAGACAGATGGCCAGATTGATGGGTCTATAAACAAGCCTGGAGAAGTAGGTTGGGATTTAGCTGTGAAAGACTTTAAATGCCAACCCACAGTTTATATTTACCTCTTAGAGGTCATAGGGAGGCTCTGGAGTTTACTGAGTCAGGGGAATGACATGGTCAAACGTGCACTTGAAGAAAACCACTTTGATTGCTGAGTGGAGGATGGAT